ATATAATATATATAATATATATAATATATATATATATATATATATATATATATATATGTTTTTACTATAAAAAATTTTTTTATCAGGTACATTATATTTAATAAAGATATTATTCTAATACAGGAAGAAGAATCGGAATTAAGTAAGCCTGCATTGTATGCCAGTTACAAAATTGCTCATCTTATTGCACGTGAATCACGTCCATTTAGCATTGGTCCATTTGTCAAACAATGTTTAGAAATTGCCGCAGAAACAATATATCTTAATGATATTAATAAATTTAAATCAATTAGTCTCTCTTCTCGAACTGTAGTACGTCGCATTGAAAAATTAGCTGAAGATCTCGAGCGACAATTGATACTAAAAGCAAACAATTTTTTTGCTTTTTCATTAGCTCTCGACGAGAGTACTGATATCGTTGATACTGCACAATTGGCAATTTTTATTCGTGGTGTGGATAGCAATCTCTCTATTACTGAGGAACTTTTAAATATAATACTTCTGAAAGGTACTACGACTGGAGAAGATATATTGTTTAGCGTTGAAGAAGCAATAGAAAACATAAATCTATCTTGGGATAAATTAACTTCTTAAATTAAGTTGCTACTGATGGTACTTGGCTGCAGAAATGATTGGACACAATATGGGCTTCGTAGGACGTTTAAAGTCTAAACTAGCACAATCAAAACAAGAAATACATTCGATCCATTGTATCATCCATCAAGAGGCATTATGTGCAAAATCTTTAAAGTATGACGAAGTAATGAAAATTGTAATCAAAGTTGTAAATTTTATTAGAACTACTGGATTGAATCATCGTCAATTTCGCGAATTTTTATCTTCTTTAGAGTCAGATTATACCGACATCTCCTATTTTTGCAAAACACAATGGCTTAGTCGAGGTAAAACTTTTCAGCGTTTCTTTCATTTACGCGAAGAAATAATTATATTTTTAGAAATGAAAGATAAGTCTGTGCCTGAACTATCACAGCCTTCCTGGATTGCCAATCTCGCCTTTCTTGCGGATATCACTAATCATTTAAATACATTAAATTACTCTCTACAAAGGCAAAGATAAATTAATTATTCATATGTTTGATCAAATTAGATCTTTTAAAATGAAACTTAATTTATGGATCAATCAATTTCAATCTCGACAGTTGTTGCATTTTTCAAATTTATTATCTGTTGCCATACACATTCAAGATAAGCAATATGAAGAATATATAAATTCACTTCAATTATTATATAATGAATTCGATTGTCGATTTAGGGAAATGTTTTAGAAGAAGACTTACTTATTTTTATAACATAACTTTTACTGTTGATATTAATATTGTTCCCGCAGATATACAATTAGAATTAATAGATTTAAAATGACACTGCTCTTAAAAAATCGTTTTGATACAATTACTGACATTGTATAATTTTGTTCATATATATCTCAAGAACGTTTTCCTTGACTACATGCTCGTGCTGCAAAAATAATGAGTATGTTTGGTTCTACATAAGTAGATAAGCAAGGAGGATCTAGCCCTGTCGGGGCGTCAAGGGGGGTGAGGGGAGGAGGGGGGGTCGTAGAATCCCCAGGGGGTTTGTATCCGGAGGAATATCCTCCTGAGTCGGTAAGGATGGTTTTCTTTCTCCAGGGGATTCGTATCCGGGAAGAGAAGATGGATCCTTCTGGCGGTCGTCGGAGTAGGTTTATCCTCCTCGGTCGGTAAGGCAGTCGCGGGGTTTTCCCGGGTCGGTTTCCCCCGTCTTTGACGCCACTCTAGCGTTGTCCGCAGGGTCTAGCGCTTCCCGCGTAACCCCGGACGCGTCTTCGCCGCCCTAGCGTTTTCCACGCGGTCTAGCGCTTTCCGCGTAACCCCGGGCGGGTCTAGCGCTTTCCGCGTAATCCCGAGCGCGTCTTCGATGCCGCCCTAGCGTTTTCCGCGCGGTCTAGCGTTTCCCATGTAACCTTGGGCGCGTCTTCGACGCCGCCCTAGCGGGGGGGTCTAGCGCGTCCTGTTTTGCGGAATGCTGCGGTTTGTTACGTCGCCTTAGGCGTGTCCGTGTCTAGGCGTCGTTTGCAGGATGCTGCGGTTTGTTACGTCGCCTTAGACGTGTCCGTGTCTAGGTGTCTATGAGGATATAACGCGTGCCGCTCGTCCTGTTTGTAGAACGCGGTTTGACGCGTCGTCGAGGTGATTCTTTTGAATGATACTTGTCGTCGTGTTTACGATGGCGAGAACCGTCAAAGTAGCGAATCGGTGCCAGCTGTGCGAGACACGAATGATCAACGACGATGATATGTTGGTGCCATTCGCTGGATGACCTAACATCTTCTCCATTGCAAAACATGACGGCATATCCATCGATCAATGTGACGCAGTACGTCGTGAGAGGACAATACACTCCAATTTCTAATCAGTTAAAGAGACGCGGTTGTCGATTTCCGCCTCAGCGTGAAATTTCACTAAAAAGAGGTTAATAGAGGCGTGTGTATGTCATCACTATCGAGGGATGGCATATAATCTTTTACTGGAAGTACTCTACGAAAAGAAGAAATCGATTGAGATTAGCACACGACAGGAGTACATGGTGAACTTTCATGAAAGCGGCTATTACGACGTATTTAACGACAACGATGATGACGAAATGTTTTTTTGCGCTCATCGCAAGTATTGGAGGAAAAGCGGTACCGTTTCGTCAGCCGCGTACGAGGAGGAGAGAAAAAGAAGAGAGCGCGTTGGCATCAATTAGCGCAACTAAGTGTGCGTGCATATAATTATGTATTATAATCGTAATATAACTATGGATTGTATATATGAATATGTATGAGATTAAGACTAACCGCGAGAGACGGAGTTTTTTTCCTCGTTCGTTTGCATATCGCGGAGACGAGAGGCGGATCGAGCAACGCGTCGGAAGTCTTCAATTTGCGATACCGAGGGTGACGTTATATTATCGGGAACGTATGAGAGACGAGAGATGGGAGGAGGAAATCATCGTACGAGTGTTAATAATAACGAGAGATTCAATTTGCGATATCAAGGGCAATGGTATCGGGAATATATGAGAGAGATGGGAGTCGCGCGAGGAGGGAATCGTTGTAGGAGTGTTAATAATGATAAGAGAATATTTTATTACTTTATTGTTGTATCTTATTATTGTATTATCTTTATTATTGTATTATTTTTATTATTGTATTATCTTAGTATTGTATTACCTTATTATTGTATTACCTTATTATTGTATTATCTTATTATTGTATTATTTTTATTATTGTATTATTTTATTATTGTATTATTTTATCAGGAACGTAAAAAGAGGAAAGAATTATTTGTAGGATGCTGCGGTTAGGCGCGTTCTATGTCTAGGCGTTTTCCACGGGGTTTAGCGCATCCTGTTTTCACGGCGACGGGAAGGCGCGCGTTTTGTCATTTCAGAATGTCGCGGTTGTCGCGTTTTCGACGCTGCCTCGGAGTATATATCTAGTCGTGAGAGGCAGTTTTTTCCATTGTTAAGAAACGTATATGGAAGAAGTCGCGCTTAATGGTAGTTCGTTTTTAAGCGAAAGCGACGATCCGCTTTTACGCGCGTTCGATCGTAATGTGACGCATCTCGACGACGATCGTTGCGAGTTGATTATCGAGAGTGACGATAGTTTAGAGTGTTACGAGACTATCGTGCCTGGCAACGACGAGGAGTGGATCGTGGTGAGAAAAGATGTTCGCTGCCACGTATCACTTGCGACGGGAGATCGGTACGGAGAGCCCGCGAGAAAAACTGTGGATCGAAACGTTGCTCGCTCTGAGCGACAGAGCGATGATCTACGAGAGAACAACGAGAGAGAGAAAATTTTGAGACGTTAAATTCGTCGTTTCTACGGACGGTTGGAATAACAGTGTGTGGGAGGTTGCGATATGAAGAAGAGTCGCGATCTTCTCGAACGCGTGGCGGGAGTTGAAGGGATGTGCGCCTATCGCGTTTGGGAACGGGAGTATATCGAGTGTCTCGAGGTCTTGAGAGATAGATATGAGAATAGAGTTGATCCTACGGTTACCGGAACGATAAATTCTCTGGTCTCTCGAGTAGCGCAGTTGGAGGGTGCGAGATTCGCTTTGAGTCGACGTTTTGGTTACTTGGGTGCAAGATACGACGGTTCGAAAGAATTCGAATGGGTGGATATCGAGACGGCCTTCGCGAATCGCGTACGAACGGGTGCTGTGGTAAACATCGAGTACGTCGAACCCCGACGGTTTCTCGAGGCTGCGAGGGCCACGGTGCTCGAGCGAGTACGGGTCGATCTCGATATGCACGCGTGTTTAAAGGTCAATACCGTGTTTCACGGGGAGTTCGTCGCGAATAATAAGAGCGCTGTTAAGAGCATTCGCACGAGGAATCGTCAGTTATTCGGTATGTCCGATCTACGAGAATGGTATGACGGAGATGTTATAAATGTTGTTCTGACGTCACTGGAAGAATTTCAGGAACGCGACAGCGGTTGGGCGTTACTTCGGATATTAAATTTGATGATCAATGTGAACAAGTGTAATCCTATGCACGCTGGATGTTGGATGTCACTTCCTCCGAAAATAAGATATAAGAGAGCCGTGATTAACGTATGTTCAAACGACAACGCGTGCTTCGCGTGGGCGGTGATGGCCGCTCTATATCCCATTGATCTACACTCGGACAGACCGTCGTCGTATCCTCACTATTCGTTGGTGCTGAATTTCGATGGTATTGACTTTCCTATGATACTACGAAACATCACTAGATTCGAACGTCTTAATGATTTGTCTATCAACGTATTTGCCATTCGAGAGAAAAGGGAGAGGAACGGTATCATGATCGTTCCCTTGTCGCTCATGGGGAACAAGAAGTCTACGCACGTAAATTTGCTCTATCTGTCGAACGAGCGGCGCGGCGATAACTTCGGTCACTTCGGATAAAGCATCTGTTTCGACCGTCGCAAATAAACAAGCATTAGGAAAAAAAATACATATGCGACCGGTAAGCGTAAGAGAGAGATTATGCTCGTCGCGAGATAAATTTTGTATTAATTATAAATTGTATTTTTTCAGATGTCTACATTATTTTTACTCGAACGAGAAATTGGTCACGCATAGCGTCGAGTGTAGAAGAGCGAACGACTACGCCGTTATTCTTGCGAGCGAGGACGATAAGTTGCTCTCTTTTCACAATCACGACAGAAAGGAGAGACTACGATTCGTTGTGTATGCCGATCTGGAGTGCGTTTTAGAAAAGGGAGATCAATGGTTCACTGCGAATCTCGATAGATTCGCCTATCAATACCACAAGGCGTTTAACGTGGGATATTATTTGCGTAGCACGTACAATGGAATCCGCGTATAGATCTTGCCGAGGCGACGACTGCGTCTCGTGATTTGTCGAGGAGCTGCACACTCTCGCGTGTCGCGTGAAGAAAGTTCTGTGCGCGAGCGTACCGATGTCGGAGCTCACGCCGAACGAGCGGAGCGCTTTTCATAAGGCGACAAATTGTCACGTGTGCGGAAGAAGCTTTGGATCGTACGATATTCGCGTGCGCGATCACTGTCATCTTACCGGACAGTATAGAGGACCCGCGCACGCGAGCTGCAATTTGAACTATCAGAAAGCGTTCGTTATTCTTGTTTTTTTCACAATCTATCTGGTTACGACGCACATTTCATTATCAAGGATGTAGCGAACGCTTTAGAGTCGATTTGTTACCGTTAACTAAGGAGAATTACATCGCGTTTTCGAAAATCGTCAACGATTCAGCGTACGGAAAATGGAAAAATTGTGTGAAGCTACGTTTCGTGGATTCGTTTAAATTTCTCAATACTAGTTTAGAAAAAGTAGCTTCGTATCTAGATCGGGAAAAATTGAGGATCGCGCGATTCGAATTTTCTGATCTCGTCGCGGAGGATTTCGAGTTGCTCACGCGCAAGGGCGTATTTCCGTACGAGTACATCGATAGCGTTGAACTGTTAGTGACCGAGTTACGATCGAAGTCTTTCACAGTTCTTTAACTGACGAAACTGTGAGTGTTAGCGATTACGAACACGCGCGAAGGGTATGGCAGCGTTTTCACGTCAGAACTCTCGGCGAATACAGCGATCTATATTTGAAAACAGATGTGTTTCTCTTGGCGGATGTTTTTGAAAATTTTCGGGATACCTGTATGGAAAGTTACGATTTGGATCCAGCGCATTATTTCACATTACCGGGATATACGTGGGACGCTATGTTGAAATACACGAACGTTCGATTCGATCTGCTTACCGATATCGATATGGTGATGTTCGTAGAGCGCGGTATACGCGGCGGTTTGAGCCAATGCTCGAACAGATACGGGCGAGCTAATAACCAATATAAATCGTCATACGACTCGTCTCAGCCGTCGTCATATCTCATGTACTACGATGTGAACAATCTCTACGGCTAGGTGCGAACCCTTACCGTATGCGGAATTTCGGTGGGTCGAGAGTCTCAATGTTATGTTCGTGTTACCTGACTCCGATATCGGTTATATTCTAGAAGTCGATCTCGAGTATCCGCGATATCTTCACGACGATCACGCGGATCTTCCGTTCTGCCCGACGCACGAGAGACCGCCGAGAAATCGAAACGAAAAGCTACTCACCACGCTCTACGACAAGTCGCGTTACGTGACGCACTATCGCAATCTTCAGCAGTGCGTGCGACACGGTTTACGCGTGACGAAGGTCTATCGCGCGTTGCGGTTCGCGCAGTCTCCTTGGCTGCGCGCGTACATCGAGCTCAATACGGAACGGAGAACTCGTGCGAGCAACGAGTTCGAGAGGAATCTGTATAAGCTGATGAATAACGCGGTTTTCGGTAAAACAATGGAGAACGTGCGCGATTACGTAGACGTGAGACTCGTGACGCGTTGGGACGGAAGATATGGCGCGGAGGCGCTGATCGCGAAACCGAATTTTTACAGTAGGAGCGTCTTCGATGAGAATCTCATGGCTATTGAATTACGCAAACTCGAGGTTCAATTTAACAAATCAATCTACGTCGATATGCATTCTAGAGATATCCAAGATGCGATTTTCATTACGATTATATGATGCCGCTTTATCACTCTAAATGCAAAATCATGTACACGAATACCGATAGCTTGATATATTTTCTGGAATGTCGGAACGTTTACGAGAATATGAAGCGAGATATCGCGAGATTTGACATCAGCGATTACCCCAACGACAACGCGTACGATATACCGCGCGCGAACAAGAAGGTTCTCAATTCTTAGTTTAATGAAGGACGAGAACAACGAAGCGATCATGACGGAGTTCATAGGACTCAGGGCGAAGATGTACGCTCTGAGAGTTTTGGGAAAGGACGATACGAAGAGAATAAAAGGCGTCAAGAGGAATACCATCGCGAAAACGATAACGTTTGAGGATTTCGCGCGTTGCTTGAATGAATCGTCGCAGCAATCGAGACATCAAGCGTGCGTACGCTCAATGTTGCACGAGGTTTACACCGTGTCCGAACTAAAGCTAGCTTTGAGTCCTCACGACGACAAGCAATACTTAATACCTGACTTCACCAATACATTACCGTGGGGTCATTATAAGATACCGTTATTAGATACTAATGTAGTATAAAACTTTTACCAATGTAGAATAAGTAATACTGTACACTCTTTATTCATTATAATACAGCCGATTTTATGAATCCAAGAGTTGTGTATATTGTCCATTCCTAACCATTTGACGAAAACTCTATCGTTCTTTCTGTAGTACTTTCTCTACGAGATAGATATTGAGATTGGAAACTCGCAGTAACTCGTGTTCGTAAAATCCTCCGGCTATTGGCTCTTTACGATAGTCTTTCAGCAGATACGTCACGGGATTCGTGCGTTGCACCTTAGCGATTCAAAAAATCTCGGTCGTCCAGTTAGGCGTATATCCCTTCTCGAAAATCGTTTTGAACTTGCTGATGCGTACCGGATCGTTCACTTTGAATCTTGCGGGGGCTGCGATCTTCAACTGACTGTATACTGTGGAGAAGAGTCTCTTGGCAATGGCGGGAGTTACGTCCACCGGTCGCATTCCGATTGTTTGATACGCGCGGTTGTTATACTCCGAGATTAAACGCGGTAGCGCGGTCGAGCTATCTGTACGATCCGTTGAGCGTGAAGAGCTTCCACATGTTGTTCTTGAGCGTGCGATTAAATCGCTCCACAACCGCCGCCTTCATCACTGAATACGTCGAGTAGTGACGTATATCGTACCTATCAGTAACCGCTTCCTTGCCCTTGTCCGTTTGTAGATTTCACGGATGTCGAGCATCGTCGCGAAATATCTTGGACAACGCCGCGCTTACCTCGCTTCCGCTCTTGCTCTTCAGCGGCACAGCCCACACGTACTTGCTCAACACATCGATGACCGTCATCACGTAATTGTAGCCTTTGTTTTGTCGCACGTACGGACGCATCTTGATGACATCGGCCTGCCACAAGTCGTCGTAACCGCGCACCACGACTTGGCGACGCGGAAAGTTTCTTCGCGCGGACGCGTGAAGCTCCTCGACGAGTCTCCTCTTCTCGACGCTCATCGCTGATTTACGAGGAGGCGTAATTCGCGTTGATTTTATTCGTGCTCGTCGCTTCGCGCATTCGCTCCTGTTCCTCATTCCAAACGTTAATCGCGTGTTTCATGGTATTTGGAATATCCATTTTTAATGCGACTAGTAATTCGTTTATCGTTTCTCTAGTCACTATTTTATCCACGTTCAACGAGGCCAGCATCTTGTCCAGCGTTTCTCTCATTACCGCTTTGTTCGTCAGTTCTCTCGCGATCCTCGTCAAATCTGTCACTACGCGCGAGATTCTCCACGTTCGTCGATATTCTCTCGCGCCTCGTCGACGACGCGTCGAGCTCGTTTCGCAGGGATTTCTCTAGATTTCGCAGTGATTCCTCTAGGGTCTGCGTTCGTTTCTCCTGAGCGTCGCCGAGCGTCTCAACAGTCGTTCGGACGTAACCCTTGGTCGTCGCGTCGATTAGCGTATCCAAATGGCGTATCTTGCGTCTGTTGACGTCGTAGTCGTCCGGATTCAGGCAGAGCGCGCTGCGACGCACGTACGCCCGCAGGGATGCGATCGTCGAACGATCGTCAACGTCGCGCTGCCTCTCTAGAGACTTCCCGAATTTGTTCACGGACATCATGCCCTCGCGGGTGACGAATCTATCGCGCGCGATAATCTGCTCGTAATCTCGGCGATCTGCGTATCGTATTTGAGAAACAATCTGGCTACGCGCGTCATAGATTCCTCCAATTCGCCGATCGATCTGACCATGCTCTCGTTCATCTCCGACAGCAACGTTCGAGTGCTCGCCGAGAATTCGTTCGTCTCGGAGATCCTCGTTTCTGCGTCTTGAAACGCGTTGTCCACGTAGCTCTTCCTCGGCGTCAGTATCGGTTCTAGATGTGGCTAAACGCCGTATGGTTCTGTCTCTCGCGTCGTAGTAATCGTCACTTAGACAGAGCGCGTTGTTACGCACATAGCGACGTAAGGAATCAATCGACGGTCGCGAGCGTGCTCTGTCGCCTCCGCCGAACGACTTCAACAGTCTTCTGAACTTGTTCACCAACATAACGGGAATACCGGTCGCCACGAGCGCGCGCCGCGTTTTACTCAATCGCGTCGATCTCGCGAGGCTCCTTGAGTATCGATAAAATCTCGTTGTCGTGAGCGTCGTTACCAGCTCATCGAGAGGCATCGAGCAATCGACTAGTTCGTTGGGATTCCAGTGAACGTACTCGATTCCTTTGTCTTTCACCCGCATAGCGGATGGAACAGAATCGATCCCTTTTTTCTCGCTTTACCAGTACCAGCGCCAATTTTGTCTCTATCGAGCAATAGTGGCGCAATGATATACTTGAAACCTTTGTTTCCTAGAATGGGCATAAGCGCGTTGTGGTCACACCGATAGGCGTTCGTAGTCAACAGTACACTCTTGTACGTTTGCTTGTCATTCTCCATGTACATGGTGTCGTCAGGAAGTCTCTTGAAGATCAATTCGTGTAAGCCCGGGGTACCCGGATATCGCGTGTCGCCCACGATCACGCTGTCATCGGCGGCCACGTCGAATCGCCTGTCGCCAAGCATCGAGCCGTCGAAGTCGAAATATACCCCGTAAACGTGATCGATTTCGCTCTGTCTGTCCCCGCTTAGAAGCGCGCCCATATATTTGCGACTTAACGGTCCCCAGTGCGCGTTCGAAATCGATTCTTCCGATTCGTTTCTAGTCGCAGGACTCACCGTCGCGATCAATGACGATCTCGTCGAGAGGCGTCTCTTCGTCGGTTTCGACGGCGGCTCGTCGTCGTCGTCAGTCTCGCGTTTCCTCTTAGCGTCGACGAACGCGATCGGGTCGAGTCCCTCGGTCGACTCGTCTCGCGCGGCGATTCGTTTCAACGGTTGAACGATCGGCTTGAGTCGCTTCTCCAGCGCGATCTCCGCTTCTATCTCATCGGTCTTTAATTCTCTGTAGTTTTTACGTATAGAGTTCTGAGTCTTCGCGATCTCTCGCGCCGTTTTTTCCCGCCGAGCAACGTTCGTACCAGCCGCAGCGTCAACGTCCATACTCGCAACAGCGTCAACGTCCATCCTCGTAGACAACTGATCGCTTTACACCACGGCGAAATCGTTAAATCCTCGTCTGTATCTACCGTTCCTGAACGTGCTGTCCTTAACTACGAAACCGTATTTGCGTTTTCAACACGCGCGACACAAGGCGTAAAAATTCTCATACAACATATCCATGTTCACGTGTTCATTGTAAACGTGCTTTAGATTAGTGCCATCCTGCTTAAACAGAATCAAGAGATTCGCGTTGTCGCGTATCAGGTGTTTCGGAATTTTAGCGTATGTCTGACGAAGATAGAAACAATCGACGTTCGAGTGTCGACTCACGGCGAAATATTCCTTGATCGCGTTCTGCTTGTCACAGGCCACATCGTCGAACACGAATATTAAATCGGGAAGCGCCTCGCTCGGTGGTACGATGTCGCTATTGTTCGAGAACGCGATTCGAGAACGCGATAGCCGATCTCGTCCATCGACTTGAACAGCTCCGCCAGGTATCGATACTTCGGTTGTTACAGGGATTTCGAGTAGACGTACACGTTCTCGAAGCGCGCGCCGTGCAGACTTTCGAGCATGCTTATCAACACGTTCGTTTTACTGCAGTTGGAGGGGCCGCAAATGATGCAATGTATTGTATTCGGTAGTAGAGGGCCCTCCCGATCGCGTCGCCCGAGATTCGTCGAGCCTTACGTTGAGATTGGGCACTCCTATAGACCATCGAACGAATCGCATTTACGCGCTCGCTTCGAGGAGACGCGACCGATAATCGCTCCACTTATACTCGACGGCGATTCGATCGCGCACAGTGATCGATATGTTTTCTCTATTGACGGACAAACGCGATATTCTCAATCTATCCGTCGAACAGTTGCGACTTATCCCGAAGTTCGTTCTCGTGCGCGATTTCGACAGATACTTAGAGCTACTGTGGAACAGATTACCCGATCATCTGAGAGCGGACCCCGAGGTGCAACGTTGTCGCGTGTGTCTGGAGCATAATCGTCCGTGGCAACGATCGCATATAGACGGTCCTGCGCCTCTTATCAAGAATTGTAACGAATGCTTAGCGGCACGGGATTACTCGATATGGCGATAAACGCGCTTCCCTTCGAACTACATATTCCTGAGTATCAATTTTGCAGGCCCGGCACTCATCTCGAGAAGCGATTGGCGCGCGGCAATCGAGGCGTAAACCCGTTGGACGTGGCATGCCCATTGCGCTATGGAGAACGTGTGCAAACTGTATGACTGGTGGTCGAAACGACAGGAATGTATCACCGAATTGTAATATCGCGTTACCGACTTATATATCATATATCAGATTGTTTTCAATTATTGTATCATATATTAAATTGTTTTAAACTATTATATATCAGATTCAGTGCTTATATGTTATAATCAGATTCATTGCTTATACTATAATCGAATTCTTTTATCGCTTGCTACACTTATGTACATGCTTGGGGAAATACAAATAACAAAAATATTTTTTACAATATATCTCACTTTATTTTATCTCAATCTTACATCCCAAAGTACAGAGCAACGAGTTCGCAATCAATAATGTCGTTACGATCGAAGGCATTGCTATCGCGTATGACTCTCGAGATATTTTCCGTATCTTTAGCGGTGAACGCGATATCCTTGAAATACGTTAATTTCGCATCGATTTTTCCTAATATCTTGGTCAACGAGATAACGAGTCGGCTGACACAATGCTCGAGCTCGAACATGTTATTCACTGTTTCCTTCGACATGGCTAAGCGAGCCGCGGACGTTTCCAGGCGTAATATCGTCAAGTTATTGATTTTTCCGAAATGCACGGTCATATTTCCAATACGCGACGGGGCTGGAAAGGACAGTTCTCCGTTGGTACTCTGCAGATACTTCGAGAGAACATGTCGTTGCTCGACAAGCTGCCTCCATGTATCGGGCGACATCGAGACCTCCTTGCCATGACTATCTCCCAGGATAATATTCACGCGCGAGGAACGTTCAAGAGTGACACATACATTGAGAAACTTGTATCCCGTCTTAGTCAAGGGATATTTTCGTTCTAGAATTCTAACTGGATTATTCGTATAACCGGCGTTGTTATAACTCGACGCGATCGGCCTATTATCGACGAGCGTCCTCTTCCTTCTCCTCACGTCGTCGCTCTCGTCGACTCGACGCGTCTCGGAATCTTGCGAGTACTCGATATCGTACATCTTTACGATCGAAGAGATCGCGCGATACTGTTCGTAAACGTTTCGTATCCTTCGCTCTATACACTATACGAAAATTTCCGTGCCTCTTCCTCCTTCCTCTCCTCTTCTAAATCGTCCTCGCTCGAAAATACGTTCCTCATCTGAGCGAGTCTTTTCAAAAGAGCGCGCAATTGCTCTAACAGTCCGTCCCTTGGACACACGATACCAAAAATCTCCGAGTCGAATTTACCGGCCATAATTACACTTCTGGTAAATTCGTTGTACTTGAAGAACTGTCGTTTATGGTAACGAGAAAGTACAGATTACCGTCGATGTATCGAATGGCGAACGTTACAGCGGGTGGAATCCCCGGAAATATCGCATGCAACGAGTTATGTCTGACGGCTGTCATCGAGCAGTTGTCGATCTCGGCTACGATCTCATCGTTGTAAATCGCGAACATTCGTCCCGCGTTAGTATTAACTACAACGTTGATTTTTGCGTTAGGAGGAAGATTCATATCTCTCAGTTTCATCGGCCAACCCGGTACTAGCTCGAAACTCGGATATTCTGCCATGTAAACCGTATCGTCTACGAACAATACGAGTTGGCCCGAAGGTCGTCGATACGCACCCGCCAAACGCGTAAAATTATCGGGAAGAAAACGCAGATAGTCCGTCAGTAACAACGACCTGCCGTAAGATTTTCCATTTAAGTCGACCGACCATAAGTGGCGTCGATACGCCACGTACATTCTATTTTCTAACACCAACACCGCGTCGACCCGTCGCAACGCGCACAGATCCGCGGAATTCCCCGAGTCGCGCGTCGCGATCGTGGTCATCGCTACGGTCGTCGTCACTGGTCTCACAATTTCGCTCTTATTTCTTAAACCGTATAAATTCTGAATAGCGAGAAAATCCGCTTCGCTCATTCGCACGGGAAAGATCTTAGAGGGGACAAAGGCGAACATTATCGCATTTTTCTGAGGGCTGTGATGTAATCCTAACGCGTGGCCGATCTCGTGCATCAACGTATGTAGCAGATGAATCGCATCGTCAGGATTAGTGGTCAGCTCGATGTGTCACTTCTCCGCGTTATCCACGTGCACATCTCCGACACTTCGGACGATGGTAAAAAAGCGTGAGCTAACGTTTCCTGGTCTGTCCAGCAATGGACATATTCGGCTACCTTGATGTCGAGGATCTACGAACGTGTGAAAACCCTTCCGAAACGATATCACGATATCGGGATTCATCGAATCGCGCTCGAACATCAGCGACGAATTCGCAGCCCACATCTCGAATGCGACCTCGGTGATTCGTAGAATGCTCTCGCTCGCCAGATGAAAGTTCCAAGCGAGATGCGTCTTCGCCCATTTCCTCGGAGACTTGTCCAAGTCACTCGATATATCTTTGACGCCGCATCGCGGTTTACGCATCTGTTCCAATGTTATAGCTTCATTAAGAACGCCATCACTAGGTATACAGTAATACTCCTGGAAAAGCGCAATCGCGTGTCTCAGAGCCAACGTCGCGTTATCGGATATCATTTGCACGTTATCGCCGTTCAAATATCCGGTTGCAAAAACCGAATCGCTTCCTCGTAGCTGTCGGTGGCGAAGTCGCTATCGGCGGCGGAGTCGCGAATCGTCGCGATAACGGCTATCGCGCACGCGATCACGGCGATCCCACTGCGCGTCGCCGATTGAAATACGAGCACGAACCGCACGATCGATGTTGCCATCGGTCGCGAGAGGGTGGAGACCAACGCGATGAATCGATCTAAGTCGCGAATCGGAAATTTCAACCGCTTAATTTCTATTCTCTATTGTGCGATAGCGAGATTATTCTCGTCGAACGAGCCTAAATATAAGATTTCTCGTAGCGCGATTATACGCCAACAAATGACGATCTCACTAAAGATCTCATACGCAATATCATTAAAAGTATATAATAAAGAACAAAAAGTAAAAACATAACAACGATAGAATAGCGATAGAATAGAAACAAATAAAGAACGATGAAATAAACGATAGACTAATCTTCTATCGCCGTTGCGGTCAGACTTCCTGTAGTTACGCGTAGCGAGCGCGAAAATGACGCATCGCACAACATTTACATTTCCTAATAAAATATTCCCTCGTTATTAATACTCCTACGATAATTTCCTCCTCGCGCGACTCCCACTCTCGTCTCTCATACGTTCCCGATAATATTACGTCATCCTCGATATCACTAATTGAAGACTTCCGGCGCGTCGCTAATCCGCCTCTCGTCTCCGCGATATGCAAACGAACGAGGAAAAAAAACTCCGTCTCTCGCGGTTAGTTAATCATCGCAACAACGATGCGTATTAATGATGATTCGCATTGTTCTTTTTTTTCTTTATTTCAGCATATCTCGTACATATATTCGTTGTTTTTATTATTCGGCATCATATTTGTACACTCTTACACATATATTCGTATACATATTCGTGTACATATTCTTATACATATATTCATATCAGTAATTAGTATACATATTAATATATACTCTTTTACATAGACATATTAGTATATACTCTTTTACATAGGCATATACTCGCGCAAATTCGCGCTCTTCACTACAATCGATGCCTCTGGCGATAATACGCGCGAGCATCATAGCGATACATCCCTACTCGCTGTCGCATTCGACGCTTCTCGCTTCCCCGCGCATTCCGGGCACTCTCCCCAGATCATCGGCAACTCGATCTATTAACTGTCACATCAATTCCTTCTTCCGATCCGACGCAGAGTTCAAAAATTGAACTCTCAATTTCGCGTATTTCCACCAGTTGCGTCTCTTCTTCTTGACTATATCCTTGACGTTATACACATACATTCAAACCAATTCGCAATCGGTCCCCTTCTCACCCGGAGATCTCGCCTCGAGCTGTCGTCCACCCTTCAACTTCGTCACGTACTGAACGAATCAGTCAGCCTCCTCCTTGTCTCCAGATAGGGACGCGAACAACGCATCTAAACCACTGTCATAACTCTCGTCATTCCTCCTCGCCGTATTCAGACGCGCAAGATACTTCTCGTACTCGTCGTCGAGATCCCCCTTCGTCGTTTTCAAACGCGCCAGATACTCCCAGTAATCTCGTATCCAACTCGGGGAAGCCTCCCTCCTTATCTCGATCTCCATAAACGACGCGCGCTCGTCCGGCGTCGCGGAACTCTCGACCAAACGAACCATGCTCTCCCCAGAACAGTATGAGTTCCACGGACCCTTCCGACTCCACACGTCGGTGACGATACATATAGCATTCCTTATACGCTCGGCCTCGTGTATACGTGCGATCGGCTCCGTTCCTCGACGAAGCGCCAGATGTTTAGACAGAAACGCCATCATCAGCCGCAAATTACACGCCGTCGAATGCATAAACGTCCACATCGCGCGCATCAACTCGAGCGAGTCGACCGCGTCGCTCTCGGCCTCCGCCGATATCTCGTCCTCCTCTTCCCGCTCGATCGTAGGCCGTTTCTCACGTTCCATCGTCATCGCGCGTTTCTCCCGTTCTACCATCTCGCGTTCCATCTCTCTTGAGAGCTCGAGCGAGTCGTCTAAGAGCAATATTATCTCCAGATCCTTCAATTGACTCTTCGGAACATTAGACTGACTTTCCAGAACATTAGACTGACTCTCCATCTCGCAAACTAACAATATATCGTCGATATTCCTAGTTAAATACTCTAAAACGTTAAATCGCAAACAGGACGCGCTAAATCCCGCGGAAAACGTCCAGACGCGGGAAGCGCTAGACCCCGCGGAAAACGCTAGAAGCGACGTAACAAATCACAGCATCCTGCAAACGAAGACGCGCTAGATCCCG